CAACGAAACGGGATAGCATAGCGTTATAAGGGGCCGCTGCCAATAGGCATCCAGTGGGTGGTGCGAGAAGGTAGCTACAGACGGTGTGACTTCAGTAGCATGGCGGCTGCTGTCAATTAAACGGGGAATTACGAGAGGAAGGTTGGTAAAAAGCGGGTTAGGAGAGGAGTAAGAGAAACGGGTGGAAAAGAAAAAAGGGAGGTGTCAGCAGTCTCATGTTTTCGCTTATTATCTCAGATGTGACCTTTAATAATCTGCGCGATGGCCGGTGCAGGATGTGGTTGAGGTTTGAAGAAATAGTTATGGTTGTAGGTGGGCTGAGATACTGCCAAAGCGCCCAGACCTGGAGAGGACGATTAGGATTCCCAACCAAAGCTTTTGGCTAAGAGCATGTCCGCAAGGCAGCGGATGTGACAACAAATCGGTTTTACATAAATGGACGCTATCTTATTGTAAACTCCAACTACCTGTATTGTTTTTTGGCGCCTATCAGTGAAAAACCTCTTATGTTACTTGTCAAAACGTATCGACTGTTGAGTTCTAACGTGTAAGCCAAAATATTTGAGTGGATGCGCTCAAGGTTACTGGCCAATATTTATACACCCCAAGCAGACAATTATTACGATGGGTACATGGCTGTCGTCGTTGAATAAATGGACCATACCCTGCGCATATTTTCTGGCAATTGGTTAGATTCGATACCAGATTCCTTGAAACTTGCGTTACAGAATAATGTAAAATGTCCCACCAGGTTAGAGGCAACCCTGGGTTTAGTAGTTGTTAATAAGCTGAAGATATTGCGATCTGCAATCGGGAACCGCTTAGTAGCTTCTAGCATTCTATCGTCACGCTATCCCTTGTTGTCGACAGTAAGACAAACCACAAGGATGCCACTCGTTGCAATGAGCGTAGATGGAGACAATCTTTAGACATAACGCGACTGCAAATTGGTTGCTTCCATGGACTTTAGTTTGTTTTTCGACACAGAGGTATCAACATACTGTGATCAAGTGATTAGTTATTCGAACATCAGTTATGATCTTTACTATCCGATCGAAACCATTTTCATCTGTGCTGTTCGCTTTTCTTCACCCCATCTCAAGCAGCTTCGTAAGCTCAAGGAAAGAGCTTAGAAAAGCAATGCTTGTGCTCCAATGAAGCCCCTTTCTGCTCGTATATAGGAAGAAGTGCACCACCTCAATCAAGCCGATGTCCGGAAAATCGTGAAAAACGGCTTAACGCTGAATGCATCTAAGCACAATGATATTTAGCTTTAGATTCATAAAGCAAGTCAATGCTAGGTACTTACCACGGACTGTCCCAAACTTCAGATCGATGGTGACAGCTTGAGTATCTCTAAGTCAGTACAGTACCCTGGAGTCAAACTGGGTCACGAGTTATCGTAGTCACTCTACGTGGATGAAATACTCAACAAAGTCAGATGACTTTAGTTTTACGTTTTTGGACTGCGTTCATCCTCCGTACCATACAACTTAATACTGTGGGTACTCTGCCAAGATGGATTTACTGCAATTCTGGAACTTTTCCAGGCATATTGTGTAAGCATTTCAAGCTACTTGAAAGGTAACTGAAGCAGTTGCCACGCTGCAGCGGCTCCAACGGTTGTACCTACGCACGTTAATTCCTGCACAAAACTTGTTTTCAAAACACTCACCGAGATTAGTCACCTTCAAGGTCCACTGACTAACTGTATATCTGCCTCGTCGACCAGACGAAAGTACAGAGCAATATATAACGTGGAAGCGAAAATTGGTAGCTCAGCTTGTTCTGTTTACTGAGCCTGATAACTTTGCTGCAGGTTTCAGCACCAGTCGGCACGACGTCATAAGTGAGTTGTTGCGTAGTGTGTAGTGATGCAACGTTTGGAATAAAATTTTCAAGCTCAGTGATTAGTTTCACCGCCATCAGAGCAATATACGCCCGCACGCGAGCATATGGTTCGTCCGTCACTCCCTACCTAGGCAGATTTTTACTTTACCAAAACGCTATTATCCAGGAACGGAGCAGTAAAGCTTACCAGTGAGATTGGGTCTTTCATTGAACTTTTTCTTCTGCAGTCGCTTTGCCACTTTTCTAACATCTCGATGTCATGAGTTACAGCTAAAAATTCAACCGCTATAAAAGCGCACTTTTGGCTTGACTTAATACAGGTGAATCAGAAGGTCCCCTAAGGTCACATGACATAATTGTGCTCGGAGTGATGGGGAACAAAAAAGATGAAACAACCGACAGCTGTGATGGGCCATAATTATCCACGAAACCGTCGATAGTTCGCTTTGAACAGTAACCACCCTGGAGCATGTGGGAGGAGAGCTCACGTTACATCCACAGGTTTCCGAGGCGCATCGCGGTGGGACGGTCGATTTAAAAATGCCACCACCTCACCAAAGTGGAACGCAATCATGAAATCGAGAAAGATTAAAAAAGTTATCTTTCGACATGCAGTTTCTCCCGAGTACATGAAGCAAGATTTGGATGAAACCAATGTAATTCTGGCGCCGCTAGATCTTGCCTCTATGGTCGATTTATCATTTAAATGGGACATGGTAAGGTGACGGGGTAGGATACAATGAGCGTGGATCCTGAGCTTTATAGACGAAGCGACCAGCTTTGCTTAAATGGCTGGGATAACCATTCTTTCACTCAAGAGCACCGCAACACGAATGAAGTTAAGATGACAAGGGCTGATGAGAATGTACCTGAGTCGAGCATGTTTAATGATGAGATAAGTGAATTGCGCCAGAAGTCCAAGTGACAAGCGTTGAAGCAGATCAATCGTGCTGAATAGGATTGCAAGGAAAAACGAGAGTAGAGCGGGGAGTGTGGATGAAAAACGACGTTCAACACTGTCGAATGGAAGCGCTTGTCAGCTGTTGTTGACTGTCTCGATGAGGGGATCAGAGAAATGTGGATATCAAATGATGATCCCGGCTTCGCTGGCATCTGAATCTAACAGGACCACGAGGAGTTACAGTTATGAGATCAGTTTCATTCGACGCCAAGCGGCCCCTCTGGTTGAGCCAAATTTAACCAGACCGATCACCGTAGCGCCATCGGCGCTCAAGGTGCTATAGTGATCTGCTCGAAGCCTCAAGATGCTATAAACGAACACGTCGTCAGATGTATCAACGGGCGATCCTGCCTCCATGCTGCGCTCCCTTGAGTAAGCGGATGTGGTGCCATCAAAACAAGAAAACGAAATCGTGGCATCATACCTACTCTCTACCCATAGAACTCAGCAGTATGTCGTGAGTCGCCGTCGAGCCCAGTTCATGGCCGGTGGCATTAGTGGTGTAAGAGCTCTATTCGGCTAAAGAGATGAGAAGTTAAATCACGAACTCAAGGCGTGATGTATGTATAATGGTCTGGTGTAATGTTCCATCGGTGAAATCTTTGAAGTCGCTAAAAGTGGAATGAAGGGAAAATGACTAAGTGATGAACGTTGTGTGAAACAACAGGGGTTTAAGAGACAGCTAAACAGAATTAAAACCCCACCTTGGAGGACGCGTCGGAATCGATTCCTATCGATCTGTTTATTAAGCTGTACATCGAAAACAACTCACATATCAACGGTCAGCTCTGCAGTATAAATGTTCGTATGGCGTCACACGACACCGACCTAAGGAAGCACTACCTTCGATCCGAATTGACATGTAATAATTACTTAAAGATGGGCCACGTTAGTGTGAGAATCCCGGTGCAGTTGCGGTACACGACGGAACGACGAGTCTGCCGCCATGCGCGCCCGCATAACGTTCAGTTCCCTAGTCTAAACATGAAAACTGATTACCCCTGATCTGTGAGGCAGCGAAGATAAACTGAGTTGGAACTCGGCTATGGCGGATGAACCACCTAAATGAGCTGAGAACCGAATTTAACTCGTCTCAAAGTATTGTTAAGACATTGGAATTCTATAGTCTGATTAAATGACGAAATGCGGATAGTGTACGGTTTTTCGAGACGCCGGTCAAATTGGCTGGAGTGTAGAAAAAATTATCAGCTGCAGAGAGTCCAGAACCGCGCATGATCGTGAAAGTGATCGAAAGTGTCAGTGGACAGCGCTATTTCGGTAAAAGGAAAGGGTCGTTCCAACGGATACCATGCTGAATGGGTCGAAAGGGTTCTCGTTGGAAGAAGCGATTGCCGATAAAATACAGTTGTTGAATAGGTACCAAGTCATCTAATCCATACGTTAGAACCCTTCTGTGGCCAGTAAGTAATGACGTACAAGGATTCACTAGCCTAAATGAGACAAGGGTGAATCTGGCCTAATGGAGCGGATCCAAGCATCTGACCAACGGACGCAAAGGCAGTTAGTTTAGTCCTTATCGTCAATACAACATAGTGGACATAACTGCTTTCACAGTGTAAGGCGAGGTCAGCCATGCCAAAAGTGGATATTGAGCCAAACTTTGATCTAATAGATTATGTCTATGGGTATCAACTGCCCATGATTATTATGCAGCAGCGAAATATTGGTTAAATCAATGAAAACCAAGCCAGGTTGTCTCGAGTGGGGATGCATTGATCACGCATTCACACTCGAGACCGGCGAAAGTGGTGGCTGTCACTAGTAAAGGTAAAATTGTTTTGCAATAGAATGAGGGTAGATGTTAGTTCCACGACGAGTTCGAAGAAAATGTGCACTGTCGAGTTCCAACCACCGTTCAGCATGGTCGCTATTTGCTTGACTCCATCTTCGGTGAAGTTTTTTTTACAACAAATGTGGGAAATCAAATGTTCACTAGGAGTCAAATAAAGCAAGATAGCATCCATAGATAAAACTGCAAACATAGAATGAGTAGGCGAATTACTGCAGGCTCGTGGAAAGAGCTGACTACTTTCCCAGATACTAAATTAGTCAGCTGTATAGATGGTTCGATTTGACTAAAAAATGGAAAAGGCTCTACAGGATGTGTGCAAACGCAATCAGAAGGGATCGGCAAAGGTATGTGAGTGAAAAGAGAGATCTAACGTACCCGGTCGACATCACATTCGGACATTAAGTGCTGCACTTCTGCTTCACTGCGATCATAGTCCTCAGGGAATAACCAATTTCTGACCTCTTCTTCATTCAGTAAACCATCGTGGTCGATGTCCCGTCGTTCGATGAAGTCCTGTCGCTCGCTCGCTACCCAATCTGGTTCCGGCTCACCTGGGACGGGCTTCCAGAGGTCGGCTGCAAATTATAGTGTCAAAATGGAGATTAGCATGGCGTGGAATGAAGCAGCTATTGGTATGTAAACTTTGAGATGCCGAAATAGTTGGTAGCGTGTAACCCTGTCATGTGCGAAGAATGACGAGTGGATAGCAAAATAATCTTGGAAAAAGATTTTCCAACTAGCGATGCGTCGCGGATTCGGATAGAAAAGTCGAGATCCCCAGTTAAAAACAGCTAAGTATGAGGAAAAGCAAACAGGTTGACTCGTTGGAAGCGACAAAATCGTTGATGAGGACCATTAAGTTCTCGACTGTATAATGTTGAGTATGGTTCCTAACCCGTTAGACCTAACCAAGGGGTGGGAATTAGAAATATTTGGCTCTTTAGATCCACTGTGGTCATCGCTGGCTACCTCGGCGCATGATCCTATGAGACGTAGTTACATCAAACAATAATTCTCCAGGCTAGAGGTGAGCAAACACGTGAGGACTGCCAAAGTGGTGGGTGGGTCCAATCCAACTGGATAGTTCATTGCGGCGCCAGATAGTCAATGGCTAGAATCAGAGGGTAACAATGCCACCCTTACAAACAGTTTGAGAAAGGAACAAAAGCAAAAGCGCTACCGATTTCGCGATGGCCCAATGCCACACAAGATTTCCAAAGTCCGGTGTGACCGATCCAGAGACGTCGTTACATGTAGCAAACGAGCAAAAACTCGACTCATCTCCTCAGATGGCTTTCTAACACCCTTTTATTATGGGATCGACTCCAAAGCATGGAGACACACTAAACAAAGCGTAATAATAAGAAGAGGAATGTCAACATAGACTGTCATGTAATCAAGTACGTATATGCATCTCTGGTTCGAGAAGCACTCTAGTGAGCCGCCTGAGAACCTGTTGGCAAACGTTAACTGGTGAGTTACAGTAGTACTCAATCGATTTTTTCCAAATAGGCGAAATACTTCGCGGGTATTATCAGTCAAGGACGTCCAGATCCTAAATGCCTCTGGTCCACACATAGTAAAACAAAGCGTACTACAGCGTTGTACACTCAACATAAGTGCTTTAAGCAAAAATCTTATGGTCTCCATAGATGTTTGGAGCAACAAAAGCCACATGTACCTCCCTAACTCGCACAATAACCACTGGTGAATTGACCATAAGATTTGTGTAAGTTACCTAGATGAGCAAACCGACCAATCAAAACGAGTGGTTGGCCGTTTATTGCGAGACGTCTGCACAGCTTAGTAATAGTACTTCTAGCGCTGAAGATGCGAAGCACATATCGAAGCATTCAGCATCTGGCGCCGATCGGTTCAGTAGTATGTACAGAGTAGCTGAGTCGCACTCAAATGGGGAATGTTGCAACTGCACTCCGTCTAGTAGCCCGTCCTCCGAAGGAATGTCCACGCCAAGGAAAAAGGATAGGACATAACCATAAGAGATTAGTTGGATTGGAAGTGGAAGGTAAACGGAAAAGTAGAACAGCTCGGACATAACAATAGGTATCGTGGTGAACCCATCGGAGAGCATTTGGCAGAACTTATGGACCAATGCTTCAACGATTTTACGGTCTGTTTCCACTTTTCGGAAACGATGTCCTCCACCAAGATGTGGTGGTTGAACCAGCGAAATCACGCCCTGCCTCCCCATAATCCGGTTATTTTGTCCCATTTTGGTTCAAGTCCCATTCCTAGCAATCTGTTCCCGTTTCAGAGTCCACAATACGGCGCCGCTTGGGGTGAAAGTCACAGTTCAGTTGAACAGCTTTGATTCGGGCACTGAACTGCGGTGGATCTGGTTGCCATAACTCACGCCGCCAGACTAAGAATAAATAAAAGATGTAAGAAAATGAAGTTGAACGTGGATTAAGAAAAAATGAAACAAATCAAGTAGTGCGGCAAGTTAATCGGGATGGGATTAATATTAACCGCTAGGTGCAAGAAACTGAAACAAGGACGCCACTGACTGCACCATGTCTGATAGTCTCCAACCAATGGTGTGGACTTTGCCGGGGGTCCCCATCCACATAGACGGAAAGCACCAGCCTGACCAAGTCTGTCAGCCAATATCTTCACGCTTTTATGCCACGCAATCGATTGACCATCTCGCGGTTTCGCTCAAATCGGTACAGTGACATAAAAATGTTCACTCCGAAGAACGCGGTCAACAGGCATACGGAGGTGACCCGACCAACGATTAAGCTATAGCAAATACTCGAGTGAGGCACCAGAAGGCTTATTGCCAGAAATCAGCTGGCGGATCATTGCGCTGTTCATCCGCTGGACCCACCAAATGTAAGCAATATTCAGCAAGCCCCGGTGATAAGATGGAAATAAGGCTAATGTTACATGAGTTTCGCGAAAATTCCGTTGCTCCTTTTTGAAAATGAGTATGACAATTGACAGTCGCCAGTCTGAAGACACCTCTAGTGTCCAAAATCATGTTGAATAAAATAGTAATTCCAGTCAGTAAACAGCCACCTCCATCGTTCAGTAGAGATGGAGGAAGGTGGTCGGGTCCACGAGCCTTGTTTCCCTTCAACACGGTGAACTGACGTTGAGTCTCTTCCAAAGTGGGGTGAGACTTCAAATTCCAACGTCGGCTCAGGTGATTCGGTAAATGACAGTGTCGCAGCACGTCTGTTGAACTGCTCTACAAAATGTTGCGTGCAACTGGCCAGTCGACGTGGCTAAGAATTGACCAATTGTCCATCTCTCTCAACCATTGTCTCACAAAGTGAGGGATTTAATGCACCTGTGTTTCGGCTGTTCTAAATAGCACTAAATTTCTCCATCTCGCAGGTCCGTGTCACTCACCAATGTTCCCAGTCAATCTGCAGACTCTTTGTCAGTCGTGGTTTCATGGCGTTACGAACACGCTGAAACTCAGTGCCTATTCCAATCTGTATCCATGCACCGATTAAACAGATCAATGCCTCACATATCTATCCACAGTTTGGATGTCTCATGTGGGGCGCACAGAAGGCGTCAAACGCACACTGCATGATACATTGGAGACGATTCCAGTGAGTGTTCAAGTCATCAACCTCATTCATCACTGACAATTAGAGGGCCAGTTCTTCAATATACCGTTTAACTGTGGACTGCGAGTTCGAGTTAATGGTGAGAAGCTTAGAAGTTAGTCACTTAGTTAAAGTGGGACAAGTGAGCGCCAGGCACTCGAGCATGGTCGGAATCCAAGCACTCTTCGTAAACAGGATGGAGTTTACCGTGGTGCGATGGTTTTCGTGCCTCAGAGACCCATTGAGCTATGCTGGGTGGTGCTTTTGCACCTTCAGAGTCACAAATACCAGATTGGTCAATGGTTAGAGGCCAGACAAACCCAGCCTCCTGGTCCTCCAGGTTGGGGGTTGGAATGAGGGTGGCACTTATACCTTAAAACGGACTCCTTGTAGCCCAACGCCAAACCCGCTGCTTTGCGGTCAGGTTTTGGAACCAAACGCTTTGGTTGAGAACCCTAATCGTCCTCCTGTCTAGGCCTGGGTAACCTGACAGTATCCTGCCCACGCAATAGTATGAATCTTTCATCAAACAATTTCCTGCTGCTCTGGCAATCACAGAGGAAAATCAACGGTGCCCTATCTGCTGCATCGAGAAGGGTGGATAGGGGTTTGGATGCTGCTGCTCAAGTCTTCGTCTTCTTATTCCTCTCACGCTTTTTCATGCTTATCGTCCCTCTCCAACTACGCCTTTAGCACCCCCGTCTTCAACCCCGCGATTTTCGGCCATCTCATCTTGATTTGATAGGCGTGTAGCTTCTAACTTCAACTCGCATGCACAGGGAGCGTCACTTGTCTGCCAACAAGCCCGCATCCAACCAAGCGATCCACCCCGGTTCACCTGCTTTTTTTGAAGCTCTCGATCCTCCCTCAGATTAGCATACGTCTAAGTACGCACATTGTTGCAGATCCGTCAACAAGCATCACGCCCGAACATTAGAGATCCTCTCGATCGATATCTGCTGCCTACCGGAAACACGCCTACAAGACACGAGCTCTGTTCTCACTCTGCGATCCCCTTTAGGTGACACCAGCAGTGCTTTCTCATTGCGCCTATCCGGGGACGATGCAGCTACGACTACTGGCCAAGCCGATGTTGGTATTACCCTGAGTCCCCGGCATGAAGCTGCTCTGGTTGACCGCATCCGAATCAGCAGCCGGATGTGCGCGGTCCGATTGGCCAGCACATTCCAAGCTTCGAAGTCGCACGGGACTAATAGGTGTCTACTCCTTATTGCTGCCTACGCCCCCACAAACCGTAGCGATGATTCGGTAAAAGACGAGTTCTACCGAAAAATAAACGAGCTTTCTTGCCATAGAAAAAACTCGGACACTGTAATGCTGAGTGGGAAGCTGAACGCTCGTTGGGAAATTGCCCAATGATGAGGTGTACCCGGGCGACCAACATGATGTACGCTCCCTTAATGATAACGGTGAGCGGTTACTTTTATTGTGGGAAGATGCTCGCTTATTTCTTGCGAGCACTAACCTCCGACACAGCACACGTCGCGAGATGATATGGCGCTCACCAGCCTTAGACCTAAATCGATCACATTGCGATCAGTTACCGGCGGAGAGGTTGCGTCCAGAACTGTCGTTCGATTTGAAGCAAATGTTTGAACGTCGACCATGCACTTGTATGTGCTGACCTGCGGAGGTGTTTTGGCGGACGTCCAAGACGACGACGTGAGTGAATTGACACCAGCCAACTGTTCTGAATGCGTATCGAAGTACCCTGACTTGCGGGTTGAGTAAGCGCTCATTGAATACAGTTAAGGTCACTGGTCGTATGTTCACCAAAACTTACTAGCAGCAGGTAAAACATCATGCTGTAAGTCCATTAACCAACATGGATATTGGGTCTCTTCGCGGTCTCAGGAACTTATCGATGCTCACCGGCACATTCCTGCTGGAAGCGAACACGACGAGACACGTAATACCTCCGGGCAAAACTCCGTGCAAGCCTGAATAGAGACCGTGAATCCTCGTGCGTC